CGCTGGTAAGGATGAGCATTTATTTCCTTTTTTCTACTTTTCTTTGGGGGAAAATTAATCCACCGACACAGTGGTGGAATATCATAATCCTAAGTGAGCCCAGGAAGAATATATAAGTCTGCTCTAGAAAGGTAAGTCTATAAACAAACTTGTCTAAAACTAGGTTTCTCAAAATACTTGAGTCATGCCACTAGCGGTGACAGTCTGGTTACGTTTTCTGTGAATCCTATTATCTTCGTCGACTTCTTCTTCCTCTTCGTCGAATTCTCTGTCTTTGTCTAGTACAGGAGGGAAGGGGGGTGAGGGTAACCCTTTCAATGTGAAGAAAAAAAATCCATTAATTTGGTATCCTCCTGTTTCTCTCTGACAACAAGTATGTATGTATGTGTGTGTGTGTGTGTGTGTGTGTGTGTGTGTGTGTGTGTGTGTGTGTGTGTGTGTGTGTGTGTGTGTGTGTGTGTGTGTGTGTGTGCATACGTACACAAGTGCAATCTCCATCTTGTCCTCATCCCAAAAGTAAATTGTTATTAGATTTGTGTTTCATCTCCAATGACGCTGGAGGTTATTTAGCAATTCTCGGAAGGAGATTCAAATCTATTCCATTCTCAGAATAAGACAGAAACCGATTAAATGGACGTTGCTTTTTCTGATTCGTGATGGCATATTACATTTTTGTCATATCCTCACCAAACAGTCAAAGGTGATGTTACATATATAAATCCTAGACTTAAAGGGGAACAGGTGGTTCTTCAGTATCCAAGTTTACCTTATGATACATGCCTTTGCTCTTATATTTTTTACGAGAATCCTTAATGGATGACTAGTGACTCCAGGATCCTCTTCTTTGTACCAGACATACGGCGCTTTATAATGAGTTTGTTTCCCTCATCGTCTAGTTAGCGATTTTAATAATGGGTGTTACTCTGTAGAAAAAAAAGTTCCCAGGAAACATCAATTTGATTAAACCAAAGTTATTCCATAACTTTCTAGATTTATTCTTTCTCTCTTTCTCTTTCTTCTTGTCCCTTTTCAGGTGATTCCTCATTCCGTTCCTTCTGAAAGTCCCCCTCACCAAGAGGCGCAGAGAACGAGTGTCCACCCCCTCGACCTCCTTCCCTTCGTATCCTTTTGCCTCAAGAGCTCACTTCGCTCAGCCTTCTGCCTGCTGCTCCGCCTCCGTCGCGCCGGACGCTCACTGCAAGAGGTCGGGCAGCCTCGGGCCGGGCGACCTGCCGTTCCTGAGGGAGTGGTCGTCATGGCTGGACATGGCCATCATCTGCTTGGAGCTGGTGGTCGTGACGGCCGTGGAGGGCTCCTTGCTCATGGCGCCCTGCGAGGTGGTGCCCTCGGCCGACTCCTTCTCCTTCTGCGGCGCGCCCCGGGCCCGCGTGGACGCCCCTCGCTGCCGCAGCGGGAACATGGAGTTCTCCGGCCGCAGGGCGTTGTTGGCCTCCCTGCCGGCGGCGCACGTGCACGCCTTCATGAAGCTCTTCTTGAAGTTGTCGCTGAGGAAGGCGTACAGGATGGGGTTGAGGGCGGAGTTGATGTAGGAGAGGCACGAGGACACCATGAACAGCACGACCCTGAGGGTGCTGTGGCCCTTCTTGGGCTCGCTGAGGATGAGCGTGAGCTGCAGCACCCAGTAGGGCAGCCAGCAGATCACGTAGACGGTGATGACGGTGAGCACGAGGCGCGTGACCCGCTGCCGTGACTTCTTCTTCTCCTTGGACTTGGTCTTGGGCCCCACCGTCTTCAGCTTGTGCAGCACCAGGCTGTAGAAGATGAAGATGAGCACGAGCGGGATGCCGAAGGCCAGGGCGAAGGAGTAGCGCGTGAAGGCGATCTCCCCGCGCACGCCCTGGCTCTCGGGCCAGATGATGTTGCAGTTGTCGCGGCCGTCGCTCTCCAGGGTGTTCGAGTACATGAACACCGGGATGATCATCAGCGCCGACAGGAACCACGCCGTCAGCGACACCAGCTTGGAGATCATGGGCGTGCGGAACTTGGGCGAGTTGATGGGGTGGCAGACGGCGATGTAGCGGTCGGCGCTCATGATGGTGAGGAAGAGCGAGCTGGTGAACTGGTTGAGCGACGTCGTGATCATGTACAGCTTGCACATGATGGAGCCGAAGGGCCAGTAGTGCATGATGGACGTCGTCATGATGAAGGGGATGCCGAGCATGAACAGCTCGTCGGCGATGGCCAGGTTCAGGATGTACAGGTTGGTCACCGTCTGCATGCGGGAGAACCTCGTCACCACGTAGATGACGAGCGTGTTGCCGCACAGCCCCGTGATGCACGTGATGGCGTAGAAGAGCTGCGTGATGATCACCACCAGGGTGCTCATCTCGGCGTTCCGCTCGTAGAGCTGGAAGGTGCAATTGCTCTCGTTGAACGTGGCATTCTGGTCGTAGTAGACCAGGAACGAGCAGTCCAGCGGGTACGAGTCGTTGAACGACTCGGGGTCGATGGGACTCAGCTCGTTGGTCATGTTACTCAT